TAGTGGACATTCAGGAAAAGCTTGTATTTGACCTTTCAACACCTCCCTTTCCTAAATACCTACTAAAGATTATACCACACTTTTGTAAAGTTTCTGAGGAAGTCTTCAGAACCCCCCCATGCTTCATAAGTGTTAGAATTTTTTATTAATTATGGTCATTGTACCTTGAAAACTGAATTTAAACAAATCAGAAGCAATGTAGGTACCAGAGAAAAGGACAGAAAATACATTTTTCTAGCATAGCAATACTGTTGCAAGTGGTAGACAGTGCTGGACTCTTCACTGCTAGATGATAATGTTGTATGAAAAACACAAATTATTAACTTGATTAACTCATACACAAGAACAAAATATTTTAAAGGAGTAAAACCACTCAAAACAGTATGGGAGGGAAAGCAACACTGAAAATTATAATATCAATGTGGTAAATACAAACATGCCTCTATCAATTGGTTAAATTCTTTTGCAACATCAGGAGAAAAGTTAACATTTCTTTCTGATATCAGTGAGAATCTTCAAGCAGAATCCTGCATTTTAAAGAATCGTAACTGCATCTACAAGTGTAATTTTCTCCTATTTAAGCAGGCTTAACCTATTTATGACATTACTGAACAAGCCTTAAATGGTTTGACAACTAGTATCAAATCAAGCACATATCACAGGATGCTGACAGTGAACATAAAAACAGAGGCTTTATTCCATGTTATAGCAGAAGCTACTGCTTCCATTCAAAGAAGTGCTCTCTTTCTGTATCTCTATCTTACAAAGTAATGAAAGCAAAATTATTTGGAAATCTGAATCATATTTAAAATGCTAAAAACCATAAACAAAGAGCCCCATACTGAATTTAGTCTATACACTATAATTATATCATTTAGGGCAATGGGAAATTTTAGTCAACTTGAATCTAAAAATAGTTTCTAATGTTGCATGCCCAAATACTGCTGGAAAGAAATCTCTAGGACCAATCAATGTGCATCCAAAGTCACCATGCTTGCTCCTTCTGCTGAATTTGCTTTTTTATTGCTTAAGTGAGCAGAAATACAACTGCATTAAGTACAACAGAATATTATTACCACAAGTTAATATAATGCATTGAGCATAAGACCAAGGTTCATTACGTAAAAATTGTTAGCATGTTGAGTGTGACACAGAGCTCACACAGTACTGCTGCACATATTTTTTAAACTGGCAGCCAGAGCTATAATTTCTGGGATTGATTCCCCAGTCCACGGTATTTCTCAGTGCTTGGTCCTTTAAGCATTAATTCCACAATAACAATCATAACAAGAAAGAGTCAGAAGTCAGACATACATAAGGAAAGGCTTTAGGGAGAGTAAAAAAACCCCACCATTAGACAACAAATAAACAATTAACCCCACTATTTTTCATAAAGAAATATACACATACAGCAGCATATGCAGTGACAAAAAAGAAAACACAAAACTTGAATGTCCTGTGATCTTGTGGAAAAAAATAATTTCTGCCAAAGGACTCTGTATTAAAAGTGAATCCAGAAAGTCTCTGCTAAGATGTTAGCATGCTGCCGAATATGATAATATTCTATTTGCAAAATTATGATTCTGAAACGGCTGACAGTGTCAAAGAATGCTGCCTTCAAATTATTAACAGCTTCTGATCACCTCTATTCACAGAAACTTCCTAATAGAACTCTAGTATCTGAAAGACTTCAAATATATTAATTTGAATATAAATTATCTGAATTAGAAATGGCTACAGACTATCCAACTTGTGGAAAGTGATACAAGTTGCAGATGAAATATAAAGCCGCAATTTCTTATTTTTTCGTAACAGCACTAGCCTGTATCTTCTTCATTTTGTTTACAGTTATGATTTTACTGGACCCAGAGAAATTAAAATATGTATCAATACATAAATTCTCCTTGTAAAATAATCGATCGACTCAGAAATTACTTTACCAAGAGACTAAACTATCACAGTCTCAACCAGCATCCTTTTTGCTCAAAAAACACAGAGAACAAGAACTAAGTAAATATGCATGCTGAATTACATTTCTCTTAACTCCCGCATATGGATGAAGCACCTTCATAAAGAGAAACATAGTCATTGATACTGATTACTTCCCTGGTACCTGACACAAACAATCTTGAACAAAATCGGAAAAATCTCCTTTGACTGGCACTCATCTGGCCACATATCTTTAACTCACATGCCAGCATGTGTCAGGAAAGGTAATGAGGCTTCAGTTTGCCTGTCTCCTTCAGCAGTTCTTCAATCTCTGTCTTAGATGTAAACATTCTGCTCACCCAAAATCTATTGTTTCTCTTCTGGTGTTGTTACAAAAGCCAGCTGATAAACTAGATTACAATGAGAAACAGACACATGAAAATAATAATAATTCCAGTTCCAGCTAGGAAATACCAATAACTGCCACGTTCAATAAAACTCTTAATTACTTCCTTCAATCAGAAAGTAGAGAGGTGCTTAACAGCTTGAAAGGATTCTAAGACAACTCTTTCTTTCTTAACAAAAATACACCCTTATCTACCAGGAGGGCAATCATCATGAAAAGAGTAAAGATTTCAAGGTATACAAATTTTTGTATAGGGTTGCTGCTACTTTGATGTAAAACTAATACACCAGGAAGTTGGCAAGCTACTGATGAGATGGAAAATGTCTTCATCTTAGCAGAATCCTTGAGATACAACTGTCATCACATCATCATCTAGCCAGATTATATCATAGACAATCCATGTTTAAATAGGAATTTTACACTACGTTTTAACTATAATGTTGAAAAATCATCAGCAGGCAAAAGGAATATAATCTTTAATTAAAAAAAGAGCAATTTCACTGCAACCTACCACATATTTAAATCTTTAATTACTTTACTAGATGAATCTTAATATTAATATCATCCTGTAAATTACCATAACACTTTCTGAACTACACTCTGTCTAGCCCTCAAGGTATCCAAACATATTCATATATGATACAGATCGTGGGTCTAAGCTGTGTCTAATTTTCAGAAAGATGCTTAACAGCTAATTGAAGTATCACGCCTGGCAAAACTGCGGCTCAGATAAAAACTGAGAGTATAGCTTTCCAAAACTAGTGAGACAGAAGACACAAATCAGTTACTTCAGGGTTGAAACAAGAAGAGAGATGTATTGATGAGGGGCCAGTTGAAATTATAGCACTCAGCTCAACAATGCCTAAACTTGGGATAACTGAAGGTATAATAGTCATTAGTTACAAGAAGAAGAATCAATTAACAGGCATGTTGTCTCTCTCTGACGTCAAGAAAATTTATCTGTAGCTGTAAGAAACAGCTACTATTAACAAGAGGTAATAATTGAGGGGTAAAAACCAAATCAGGTACAAAGTGCAGGTAAACACTGAAGTATACAAAGACGTTGGAATCAGACCTGTAGTCACAGACACGGTATCAGCTCAAGAGTATCAGAATCTAAGGGAGTGTGAGAACTCATCTCCAGCTCTGCTAACTGAAAAGATTCTGGAGAAGAGCACCTGAAAATTTTGTGCTTTGCAGAACTAAGATGCAAAGGCGATATGAAAAAGGAATGCGTTTGTTTTCCATTTTGATGGATAGTTTTGATGCACAGTTCAATAAGCTTTACAATAATGTTTGATAGAATAAAGTAGCTTTATTCATCAACTTTGGGTGGCTATATATGTGATTGCTAGATAAAGCAGATCTACTTTTTCTATTTACTTCAGAGAAGCAAATCCCTGTCTTGAGTAAATTTCTTAGATTTTGTAGCCTGCCTGCGCAAGACAGTGGCTCTCTAAAGTAAAAGTACTCAAGTAAGTTCTCAAAAGGAGCACCTGAGAAGTTCCAAGTATTGTTTTAATGTTTATGACCTCTGTGATATGTAGTTACAAAGCACTAAATTTCATGGCTGCAGAAATATTTACTTATTTATTTTGTACAGAACTCTGTTCTATATATCACTGTCATTTAGCACCATTATTTATGGACATGGTTCTATTTCATTCTATCACTTGAAACGCCTGAAGGTACCATACAGTACACAATAACATGTACATCTGCAATCTAGAGTGAAGATCTGGACAAGCCATTCAAAATGATTGCCTAACACAACTCTCCTAATTTACGATATTAGATTAAACAATGGAATTTCATGGTCACCACTTGAAAAGGGAAGTGGAGGAAAGGAAACGGGGGAAAGGGGGACGGGGCAGGGCAGGGCGGGGCAAGGCAAGGCAAGGCAAGGCAAGGCAAGGCAAGGAGGAAGGAAAGGCGGAAGGAAAGGAGGAAGGAAAGGAGGAAGGAAAGGAGGAAGGAAAGGAGGAAGGAAAGGAGGAAGGAAAGGCGGAAGGAAAGGCGGAAGGCAGAAGGAAAGGCGGAAGGCAGAAGGAAAGGCAAGCTTTGTGACACCAAAGCTATAGGGAGATAAATGTTAATTCTTTCCATATGAGACCAAGAAAAAGTTTGGAAATCACGACATATGTAAACACGCTTGATAAGCTTTTGATAATACCAAAAAAAACTAGAGCCTTTTTTCTTGAATTAAAAGTATAGTATCTTAAGACACTGACAGCTTAAGATGTCCCAAATGTCCAAAGTCTATCAAAAAGGAGACAAGGAAAAGGTAGCTTCAAAGCAGCACAGGGGACTAGGACTTACACCCAAGATTCATACTCGAAGGATTCTTATGTCACTTTCATCTATGCTTCCACAATTGAAATCTTGTTCTTAAACAAAACTGCCTTGAGCTCTAATAAGGAATATACCTTTTTTAAAACGGTATCTCATTTTTCAGAGCTTTTTGCAAAGATAGATCCAATGTTTTTAGAAGAATTCAAGTGAAAACAGCCAAAACGTAGATGACATGTCTATGGATTCAAATGCTTACTTAACCCATACAGAAAAAAAATTATTTCATCTTGTTTGTTTTTCCAAATGCGTATAAATTTGGTCTCATGAAGATAGAAAATTATAATCAGAAAAACATACTAAATAGTACACTCACCTTCATCACTAGTTGTTTGCTGTTTAACCAAACTCATGGGAGATCTAGCTGGGGGTTTATTTAGTGGATGACGCCAACTCTTAGATATTTTCTTTCTTGAAACTTCCTCTGACTGAAAAGGAAAAAACATAACTAACTTAGTGCGCAATTCTGCGAAGTTAATTATGATGAACAAAAACATACTTCTGTAAACAAGCACAGACATCTAGTCTGTAAATACTATCACAGTACTTGAAGGACCTTTGGTGTACCAATACTACATTTGTCTCTAATTCAGAATATATCTTTTAATTTTAAAAGTCCAATCCTTGTCAAACAAATCATTTCAGGTATAAGTAACTGCAGCCCTTCCTAACTTACAGAGCATCAGCCCTGTTTTGCTCATGTGATATGTAAGGGGAAGATCAGCCCAAATAATTCTGCAGACCAGAAGTACAATACACCCACTAACTGTGGCTAGAAAAATGAGGCAGAAGCCAACGGACTTCATTTGGGGAAGACTCCAGAACTCCACAGGAATCAAAAAAAAAAATAAAACTCTGGAGTTGAGATAAGAAATTAAGAGTTGTGATATGTGATTAACACGTAGGTACGAAGGAATTCCTTCCTCCCTCAAACACTCCTATGCACGTTCAGCTTGAAGTTATTCAAGCTTCAAAAACTAAGGTCAACACTACAAACTCCTGAAATGCAGCCTTCACAACTCCACATTTGAATGCTAGTGGGAAAATACCAAAGTAAACCAGCTACTGATGGCACCTGGAGGTGAAAAAAGGCCATGTGTCTGTAGGTGCCCCAAGGAGGAAACATTTTTTAAACCTACTATTTAAAAACTGAAAATATATATTCCTTTCAATAGCGGAATCTTTTCCTTCAAGTGTTTCTTTTACATATTTTAAGCCATTTCCAAAATTCAAGAATAGTAAGTAACTGAAGCTCACAGCCTTGCTCATATTGGCAGCAAGTGAGTATGGGAATAGCTTGAGAATAGTTGCTGACACTTCAGATTCACAGATATAAAGTGAAATTACTACATGTCTAAAATAACAGGGAAAAATATGTCAATAAGCAAGCCTCCAGAAACATTCTGCTTTTGAATCAAAATTCCCACTCTGCCTGAGCTCTTCAAAACATAGACAAATTATCATCTGATTAAAATCATACATATTCTTAAGAGCTTTAATATGGATATCAGGTCTCATTAGAAAAATTCTCATTCATATTTCATTAAATCAAGAATATATTACTATTATGATGTAATTTGCTTCACATACACTACATGTTTCCATGCCATCATCTTCATCCTTTTTTACAACAGGCACTTCTCCATGTTCCAAACTACTTCCACAGCTTTCTATGCTGATATCATCCTCTATCAAGACATTTTCCTCTTTATCTGGATTTTCTACTTCAGCAGTTTGTCCCTCTGCTTTATGGTACGGTATGTCCTCATCTTCCATTTTTGTTTTCTCTATTACAGGAATAGGGCTCAAAATGGAGTCTGAAGTGAGGCTTCCTATAGATCAAAAATATGATTCGTTAATAAATCCCACTTTCCATTACCATATTGAATTTCACAGCAATCTACGTTATTCAAATTCAAAGCATGGTTTCTCATTTAGAAATCATACAGAAAAGCATTTGGTAGAAGGGCATACACAAATGCGGAGTATGAGTTTTATCAAAAAATAAATTAAATGTAAATGGTTTGAGTTTGGAGTATGAAATGTAGTTTTAATCATTTAATCAGTATTTTGCATTTGAATTAGAACAGGTCTTCATGTCATACAAAATAATCAATATTCATGTATCTTCTTTATTCTGACAGCCCATATGCACTTCGACTCATTGGGGAAAAAAAATAAAAGTCTGGTATATTGAACTTTATGCCCTGCATTTTATACCTATTATGCCTGCTTTAAAAGTGAAAATAAGCAAGGATTAATGGTTTATAATTATGAAGACATATTTCAAATAGATACCAAGGATATTTTGAAAACAACAGCATCAGTCTAAAAATGCAAAGCAATTAGCATAATTTTTTTTTTTTTAAATAGCATAATTGTATCTTCCAGTGATGCTGAAGAGTGAAATTGTGTGGATTTTACTTTACAAAAATTCTTCACTGCTGATGCTTGCATTGGAGAGACAGAACAATGGGCTAGAGAGGTTACTTAAAAAACATATTCCTGAAGAACCCTGTGGTACACACTGCAGTGAATTCTAATTCAGTAGCACATCCAAGATATTAAACAAAACAGTTTCTGTAAAGTCCCTTCCCATTACTTCTTTACAATGGTTATTTGAACTTGTTTTTCTGAAAATTTTCCTTTTCAGGTCAAATGAATATAACATTCAGTAATACAAAGCCAATACCAAAATGTAATCTCTGGGTACGAACCGCACTGCCTCAACTGAGTATAACAGACATAATGGCCAGAGATAACGCAGAACAAACTACCTTCTTCAACATGAGTACCAGAGTTTCCACCATCATATCTAAAAACATCCTTTTTCCTAAAAACGTCCAGGCATCAGCCTTTAATAGGACAAAGGAGACAGGGCAGCTCTCCACTCTTCTCCACTTTTTCTTCCCTTGCCAATAAACACAGAATAGCTGCCAACTAAATACTGTTTTCTGTGTGGTTATGAACATTCCAAAACTTTACTGAAAGTTGGGGGAAGCTGTAAAGCCAAAGCACCTTTAAAAAATAAGACCATAAGAACAGACCTGGAAAGGCTTTGATAGAGCAGCAAATAATTTGTATACAGGAATTTCTAAGCCTTCATATTGCAATACTCACTTTGTTATCTTTATGTGAATCAATTATGGTGATTACTACCTCCAAATAAGTATCAACATAACCATTACTATTCACAATAATGGAAATATTCTCTATATGCAATTTGCAAGTAAATATTCAGTAGCAATATAAAACAGAATGGGACTGCCCACAAACTTAAAATTAAAATTGAAGTTTGCCTTTATCAACAGGAATGCAGAACTACATCTTAACTACAATGAAATTTAAATACAATAAATTAAGTCCAGAATAAACCAAGTATATTCATATAAAAAAAGTTGGGGGGAGAGAAAAAAAAATCTTTGGCTTTCCAAGGCCTTTATAACTTGCGTTGTCAGATAGCTCAACAGGATGTAAAAAGAAACCTGGAGTCTCAAAACAGAACATTGTTGTGCACAGGTAAAGACCACTTCTACTATGCAGGTTCATAGTGTAAATACATGTAGCATACTGGCAAGCATATATGTTCTTTACTGCTTGAATAGTGTCCAGACATTTTGTATCATTTCCATATCAAAAACATTTTGCTCTAAAACATATAAGTCCACTAAAGAAATAAAATTTACAAATCCTCATTCTTTTTGTTCCTTTAAAAACACTTCATTAAAACTTCATACTACTCTCAGCTCAGAATAATAATTTAGGTATTTTCTCATTCTAACTGAATATCATCTTCTCTGCATAACTTTATACATAAGTATTTTAGAATGCTACTCTAGGAAAATACTATGATCTAACATCCACAAATTTGTGGTATTAGAGTATCAACAGCCTACAACTTACATGCGAAACGTAATCAGTCCTTATCTCACCTGCAACCTTGACATGATCCAACAAATGTTGATCCAGCTGCATTCTACTACTGTTTTCTTCTTCCCCAGAAGGCACTCCTGTGTTTATCACTCTCCCTTTTTTTTCAGGTTCTTCACTGACCTTGAAGCCAGCAGTAGCTGCTTCAGTCACGATGATTTCTGCATCAGCTACCACAGCAGATATTCTCTTGTCCTCTGGAGTTTTAAGCTTTCTAGATCGAGATCTGGGGTGCTGGGAGCTGTTATAGGAGATACTGCTGTCAGAGTTGAAAGTCTGTCTCAGATAAGATAAAATATCTACCAATATATATGTCCCTTTCACCTGCTTAAAGTGGTAAAAAACTGACAATTTTTCATCTTTTTGTGTTGAGATAGTGTTACAATTTATTAAGTGATAGATTAACAATTGATTGGATTTAACCTTCTAATCTTTTATCACCATTCTACAGCAAAGTTGTTAAAATCTGAAAGTAAAATAGTCTTTAAGTAACTATTACTTAAACTAGCTTTTTAATAAATCATTCTTTTGAACCTGAAAGAGAACTACCCTTACAGAAGTAATGAAGACAAAGCACTCTCAGTAGCAGTAAAATCAGTTGATATTTCCAAGCCCCAATGCCCATAAAACACTTGTCTGAAAACCCCTATAAAATCAGATCTGTTTGGAAATTTTAGCACCCAAAAAAGGTAAAAATTATGATCACCAAATATTTTGAAAGGCTACAATATCAAGCAATATATCTCATAATGCTGTGTTAAAAAAAAAATTGAAATTAAATTTTCAGCACAAGTTTTTGCTCCCTCAGAAGTAGAAGCGAAAGCTTAGGGCAGGAGACATGGCAAATCCATCAGAAATTTATGTGCCCAGGATAAATATAACAGAAGATTAGTCCAGTTTCAAATTCAGCTATGTGACACAGGAGGAGATTTTAATGTGCTTCATCACATAGCAGGTTTCAAAGCTCATAACACGTTAGTGACATAAGGTAAATTAGGAGTTTTATAAAGGTCTTGCATCTTAGACTCTACATATCTCCAGAAAAACATTTTGCTACCCCTTACATTTTATTCTATGTCCACCAATGAGTATCTTTCAACACCTTCTCTATAAAATAGTGATTTACAGAAAATTTGCCAAAGCATGAGATGACCATCAATTCACATCGCAATATAACAGAAAATACTATTCCTGTTTACATGCAATCATTAGATATTATACAGTAGCAAAGTATTTCAGTCATAAATCCTAGAGTTAAGCTCTCCCTATCACTATATTCATGAAGATTCCCATACAAGGTATTTTTATTTTCACTCTGCTGGAACTTGTATTATTTCCGTAATCAAAATTATGACAATTTCAAGTGATACATTACACTAGAAATGAAGCTGAATAAACATTTTATCCTACTTCGCATTGCACACTGAGCAAAAGCCGCTTAAAGATTTAAATAGCATTGGACTTGTGTTTATTAGCTTAATGTGAGATCTTGGATCCAAATCTCACTGAATTATTAATATGGGTCAGAACCAACTCACTTTGGGGGTGGGGGGGAGGGGAGGGCTAAGTGCATAAATCAGCCCATGTGTTCCTATGATAAAACTTTCAACACAATTATTAGAAAGTATTTGTTTTTAGTCAAAACTGGCTACCTGTAAGGGTACTACCAAATAAATCACTGCTAGTGCAATTGGGAATTTGCATTTCCACTGTACAATACATACAGGGAAACCTACTACAGGACAAAACGGCACTCACTTGGCTAAACAACAGAATCACTCTCTCTGTGAGTGCAGGTTAGTATTATACTAAGAAATTGGCTGTTCAGCTGCTTCACTGATTGTCTTCAAGAAGTGATTCTACCTCACAAACCACTCCTACCCAGCTATAATGTTTCACTACAGTGAGAGTTGATCCTTTTCTTTACAGATTGACTTTCCTATCCTTTTCCTCAAAAAATGCATTAACTTACAAAGAAAACGAAGAAACTTGTTTTTTTAAGACCAAGTTTAAAAAGTAACTACAATGTAAAATGGAGGAAAAAGGTCTTAAAAAATTCAGTATTACCTTCAACCCAGAAAACTGCACTATGCAGTTAAGCAGACACCAATAAAACTGCCCACCTTTGGCTAGAAATTAAGTAGATCTGTATTAGATAATGAAGAAGAAAATCCATAAAGATCCTCTTCACTAAGACAAGAAAGCACAAATGTACAAAAAATGTTTGTGCAACGCAAACAAAAACATATTGCATATCAAGAAAATACCGATGAAACTGCTTTAACAGGTCAAAGCTTTTACAGCTTCAATGACAAGCTGAAAAACCTTATTCTCCTAATTTTCTTAGTGGTGTCAGGACCAGCAACTCCGACTTAGGCCTTTCTTATGCCAGATTATGATCCACCATTGACTTGTGGTAGACATAGACGGTTTTGGCTGCAGCACTGTAAGAGTGTGATAAATAGGCAGTCATATTTCCTTGAAGTTAGATGGCAGTGAGGGCTAAGACTTTTACTAGAGACTTCACACCGCTGGTGGGATTCTGCCAGAGCTTTATGATAAGTTTTTCCCATTTAACCTTTACCTCAGCTCTTAACAGACTTCTCCCTTGTCTTTTGGTTGCAGTGGTCACTAGAAACAATGGCAACCATCCACACCTTGTAATCTTTACTAAAACACCAATAATCTTTACTGAAGAAATATTCTAAATGCAACACTGGAACACATGTTAATGTTCTCCATAATCATTAACTTAGCTATATACATAACTTTTAAGTTGAATTAATTTTTCACAGTCGCTCTGAAACAGACTTGCTTATCCTCAAGTTCATCTTAATACAGAAAACAGAAAAAATAATTTTCATCTAAAGTAAACGAATTCAAAGAAAACATGTGTTGTGGTTTAAGCCCAGATGAAAGTTAAACTCCATGCAGCCACTACCCTCCCCTCACTCCCTCCTGTGACAGAGAGAGACAAATAAGGCAGAAATTATGGGTTGAGATAACAATTTACTGGAAACAATAATGAAATAAGAAAACAAACAGTAAGAGCAACAATACTAATAACAAAAGTGTATAAAAGAGGGTGATTACATGCAAAATGCTCATGGAGTTCGACTGACACAGCCTGGTGCCGCGCAGCTGAGACAAAGAACACTACAGTCCCTGGGCACTCTGCACACACCACATTCCCTTCCTTCTCCGAAGTGAGAATCCCTTAACTTCTGCCCTGGAGCGGTGACATGGGTGGTATAGAAAACTAACCTAGGCACACCCACGTGGATCCAAGCTCCATTCCCTCATGGTTACCACAAGAAAATTTACTCTGTCATGGCCAAAACTAGGACAACATCAAAGAAAGTTGCCAAAAGAAAACAATAAGAAATTGACATCATATTAAAGACGATTAAATAAAAGGATAAAGAAACCAAATACCTCTTCGGAAAGCTCTGTATTTTCTTTCTTCTCCGTAGCCAGGTCCTTATTTCAGGTGTTGATTCAGGTGTTGGTTTCGTATGATCAATGGTATATAAATCCTTGCCTTTTTTCCACAGCTGATACCTGTCTGGTTGAAACTTCCTCACAAAGATATCCATGGATATTGACACCATGTCGTTCCTACAAGTGCACTACAAGAGAAGACAGGAATTTGTAGGTGACACGTAATGGAATATGCCACAGTTGTAGTTAAAAAAGTTCTGAATAAAAATCCCACATATGGAAGCCAATTCTACTTTAATCAAAATTTTCCTTTTTCCCTTCTTCTCAATTTTCAGGAGGAAAGGATTATTCAAGAGAATATAATAATAATGGCCAGTCTTCGCGAACGAAGATTTTGGGAAAGGTCTTTCACCTTTCCAGCCTGCGCAATGGATTTTTTAGGTGAGACACAGCATGCGCTGAACTGAGCCCACCCTTTAATCCTAAGGTTCATCTGCCGGGGCCAAGCAAGCTTGGACAATGGCAGTGAGGTCCTCAGGACGTAGGTTTGTTTAGAGTGACCTTCTCATAGATGGATGGCCTCACAGGGCTAATGAGCTCCATCTGCCCGGGGGACCGGGGAATCGAACCTGGGTCGCAGCGGTGAGAGTCCTGCATGCTAACCACTAGGCCACCAGGGGTCCATCAAGAGAATATACTATCCGAACAATGTGTCACACTAGGATTCCACTGTGTCATTAATTCCTACAGTTAAGACCAAAAAGAAACGATAGCATTTCTTTCTGCTCTATTAGTTGTTTTTGACAGTTTCAAGCAAACTACCATGTTGAATCCAGAGACCACATGTATCTTAAGTGACATCACAATACTATTTTTAAAAATAACTCATGTAGTGTCCACTTGACCCAAAGGTCTTTACAGGAACATACAGTTCCAGCACTGAACTCTTTAAAACATAAATCCATACAAGTATCACACCAAGTTACAGTTTTGCCCATTTTTTTTTTACAAAGAGAAAAAAAGAGGTAAGAGAGAAGCATTACGTCTAAGGCCTAGAAGGGTGTTCTATAACTGTGTAATCTGATCTGTTGTGCAATGCAGACCCTAAAATCTCATGCAGTACTTTCTTCATCAACTTTACTCTAGTCCCTGACTTTAGTCCCTCAAAGAATTTTTGCATTGTTTTCCTTTCCAAATTATGCAGGTGAGTGGAATACATTAGACCTATTTGAATAAAAACTCAATGGTCATGAAATGCAAAGGAGGAGCCTTCATTTGGAATACTGCAGATTCAGAGTCAATTTTCAGACTAAAGTTACTGTACGTAGTACCTCAAAATACTTAAAAGTAGGAGACTGCATTGAATAAATCCTCATGCTTACAGCACATAAACTATCATAGTGGATTAACCCTGTCTGACTGCCAGGTGTTCATCAACTTGCCCTCTCATTTCTCCTCAGGTGTCTCTCGGGACAGAAAGAGAAAATAAGATGAAAATTTTCATGGGTTGAGATAAGGATGACCAATTACCATCTTTGACTCATCTTGAGGGAATTACATTAACTTATTGTAAATTAATAAGAGACGGTGAGAAAAGAGAGCAAAACTAAACCCACCTTCCCTCATGCCTGTCTTTCCCAGGCTCCTGACTTCACTCCTGACTCTGGTGTCTGCAAGGATGTTTCTTTCACATTTTTCTCACTCCTTTCTCTCACAGCTGCTGCACAGTGATTTTTATTCTTTCTAAATTTGCTATCACATGAATGCCACCACAGTTCCTGACAGACTCAGCTTTGGGAGCAGCAGGTTCATTCTGGAGTCAGCCAGATCTGGCTTTGTCCAATGTGTGGACAGCTCCTGATCTGTTCTGCTATTAGCCACGACTGCAGCACCCTTACATACCAAAACATTCCTACATAAACCTAAGCACAATTTTTTCAGATTAAAAGCCAATTGATTGGCTAAAACATACAGTCTTAAATGGAAAAACTTTTAAAGAACTTTGCTATAGCTGAATAAAGCTTACACTGCAAAACTGAGACAGTATTTTCTTTCAGGTAAACAGAGACATATAGAAAAACCTGGTAAATGTACAGCCTGGCTTTATGGTTTACTACTACTAGTTTTATTATTTTTTTTTAAACAAGGAGGGTGTTTAATCATAGAAAAGCTGGAATACACAATGGACTGGATACAACTTTTCTACTAGTTAGGTTTCTGTGCACTGAATGCAAATTTCTTTATCTGCTACTTCCATCTATCATTTCTAGTTCACCCTTCCTGCTCTTGAAATTCATAAGATACATAATGAAAAGGCATCTGAGATGTATAAAAAATGCTTGCAGTCCTTTCAATATGTCAACATCAATATGCTGCATATTCACAACACTGCCATCTAACGGGAGATGGAATGGAACGAAGTAAAAAAAAATTCAACATACAAACTGTAATTTTATGCAGCTGTCTTTAATTATAGTTTTTACCCAAAATACCATCAGAATTTTGCCTTTTCAAACAACATGAATATACATACTTATAAAAACTCTCTGTAAAAAACTTAAACATATTTGAAATAGTATGCCTCTTTCAGAGAGTCCTTGATCAGTCACAATGAACAGTAACAAAAGAGCAATTAAGACAGTTCTGTACACTGGAAAAGTGCATAGAAGTCCACTGTAATATTTTTAACATTTAAAAGTGAAATTGTAACACAAAGACAAGGAACACTGGATTTTCTCTCCCTTTCACATACAAAATCTTTTCACAGCTAAACCCTGTTGCTACAGTCTGATAAAAAATGATTATTAAAGCAAAAATTTTGCTGTTAAACACCAAGATTTCCACTGCCTTGGAAGAAAAGGGATTCTTAAGTCAGCATTGAAGCATTAAGGAAGAAAATACATCAAGAAATAAAATAGATTGTATGATGGAATGTTAATAATATATGAAAAGACTTAAAATAAATCATGTCTAAACGAGACACAGAATTTCTGTCTTTCAGTAAACTTTGATCAGTTTCCACTACATTTTAATATAACTACTGCTAAAGATTTTAAAAACCCATGCAGGTATTAGAAATATAGTAGAATTTCTTAGAAGCTTTAAAACTTTTAAAAACATACACTTCAGAATAAAAAGCAATAGAGAAACATCATGCTCAACAGTACCACCGCATGCCTGAAAATAAAGACAAGCTTCTCAGTGCTAAAGGGTGGAAATACTTGGAAGTATCATATCAGACAACAACAGCAGATATGTTCTGAAAACAATTTCTACTCATATTCCCCAGAATGATTCAATTAAAAAACAAAACAAAACAAAACAAAAAACCACTATTGCTTTGATTTGCAACCGGACTTGCCTTTCTCGTATTGGCCTTTTTAGCCACCAACGCGCTTGCATGAAAAATGGGTAGAGCCCTTCCCAAATCTTCGTTCGCGAAGCCTAGCCATGATTGCTTTGATAAATAGTCTGCAGGGTCTTTTGTTCTTTGGTGGTGATGATGGTTTTTACTGTTTTTTCTTCATTTCTCATTTGACTGGCTTGGGGCTGGCAGTTATATGGCTTCCTGCTCCAAAGATAAGAAAGTGACTGAAAGATTCTTTCTCAAACAAAACTAAATATTATTCTGCTAAAGAAACCTCTTGGGACAGGTTTCACAAAATGAACATAGCAATGTCTACTAAAATACTCACAGCGATACTTCCATGAATCACAGTAATTTTGGAAATATCTTTTAATACTTTTTTAAAAAGTAAATGTAAAATCAAACTAGTTGGACTGCCATGTAAAATGCAGCTGATGTTGCAATAGCTAAATGTCAGAACCTTTGTATTGGAAACAATTAGTTTCTATACACAATAGAATTAGTCTGATACTTATTCTATAATCAGAATACTTAAGAGAACAGAACTCTGAGGTGTTGTACATGGGCACGAACCCCACTCAGACACGGACGAGTGCCAGAGCAGAATTGTCGTTTATTTCCAACGGTTAGGTTTAAATACAGCACCTTACATGTCACGTGATCTTCCATCCAATGACAGTGAAGTATTGTCTAAGCATGCATGAGAGCCCGGGAGACTACAACTCCCATGGTTCCCTGCTATGCTCTTCCTGCCACAGAACTCCTTTCCAATTCTTAATATTAAATTCTTACTATTAACATCATTGATGACACGATAATTCTTATTTATCCTGCCATAAAGATAGAACTTGGCAGTAAGCAACTCAACTAAAATTTATCAGTAGCTGCAAACCTTTACAGAATGAACTGGAAAAAAAGTTTCAGCAACTGTAACTAATTGGCATAACTATATGTGAGATATATTTGTGATTTGAGAAAATTACCTAGGAGACACATACTCAGACTAATGAATTTTTCTAAATACCTGCTACTTGTGAATGAAAAAAGAATAATTATTTTGTACTAAAAAAAGTTTAATTCTCCCCATTTGGGACTCTGATTCAGGAAAGTACGAAGAAGTATACAATAAGCTTCTAGACTTACTTTAAAATACCTGAAATACCTAAAAGCAGTCCTCGAAAAACATTTTATATCAGTAAGAACCAAGTACATGCCTAACAGGTCTTTCCAGCTTTTCATCATTATTATTAAACTCTTTCGTCAAACAGAATCACTAGATTTTTAAAACTGACATAAAAATACTCCATCTATAGAGAATATCATTTTTTGCTGCAACAGAAAGTAAAAAGAGGGTTTGTTTTATTATTTGACTAGTAGAAGGGCGGTGGTGCTTCTTAGTATCATAGTCTTAAGCACAGAAATGCATATCCAGAGTCAAGCATTTATGATTTGCATTTTTCTCTTTTAGTTCAGTGAAGTTATACCTGTGATGAGAACTTATGTCTTTATCCACAAAACCATCTTCTCCACCAAAACATTAGTTGTTATACCACAATATTACAATATTTAACACACTAAGGTTAAAAAATCTGAAGGATTTTGGACATTTTGCACTAAGTATTGGATCTTGTTAATTAAAATATGATTTTCACCATATCTGAAATCTATGTTAGTTAAAAGTCTTCCAAAGTATTAATCTGAAGACGATTAGTAGTACTTCATTAGGTTCATTTTTTTCTTTCACTTACATAATTATTTCAGAAAAAAAAGCACCACCTAAAGTCGTTCTACACACCTGTGGAACAGCATGTGGAAACTAAC